TACTTTTACTTAAGTACAAATGTTAATGTGGTAGTTTTACTTTTACTTAAGTAAATTTTTTGAGTACTTTCTCCACCACTGCGAGGCACTTATAGCCTTGTTTGTCTAGTGCAACAACAAATGTGATGGACTAGTATGTTTCGTGTTTGTCGCAAGAAGTGACGTTTCTCTGTCCTCCAGTCAATGGACGGTGTTGTGTGATGCCAGTAACTCTGCTCCAACCGTAACATTGTCCTGTGGACTTGCAAATGAACAGGGCCCAGGATTGGTGTGGAACAGGTGGGGTGTGTGGTCCACTGGAAACAAACAAAATACCGAACCAAACTGCACTGACCCGTACCGTACCAATAAGGTAGTCATGGGGTATCTCTGAATATTGACAGGGTATAATCATGAACCCGAACATTCCTAATTCTCCACAGTTACCACTGACCATCTGCAGGATTCTAGGTGGTTGATAGTTGATAAATAGTAGAGAAGCCTTAAATCTAGAGATAAAAACTTAAAGTCAGTTTTAGAACAAAGACCAGTGGAATGAGACCAACTTTGAAGTTAAAGATGTTTTTATGTTGAGGTTAAGAAACCAGCTGCAGAGTTTTTTACTGCAGACAGACGACTGATCAAACTCCCATATCCAGGTTTGAGCTGGTCCAACTCCTACACTTTAAATCACAAGTTTCAGCTAAGCCTTTATGGTTTCAGTTCAATTAAATGCCTCTGCTACTCTGTTCACTTTTATTGTTCACTAGTTTTTGGAATTTATTGTAAGGCGCTGCAGCTTTAGAGCAAACAGAGCAGCAGGACGGTTCAGGTTCCCAAACAGTCGGTGATCAGCTTGTTTGGTATAAATAGTGTGGAAGTCGGCATTCATGAAGCTCATCCAGGAACTGAAACTGGAGCAGAGCTGCAGGTCGACAGGTTTGGGATTCCCTTCAGCTAAAAGCAGCCGGTGTTATCTAACAGCAGAGCTTCATCTGGCTGTGGACATTAATCAGTGGGTTACCGTTTAGTGCAGGTTAAAACTCAAATACTATCAGAGACACTAAATAAAACTTTATTTTTAATTAATTCATTAGATCCAACTTCAAATGATATAAATTACATTTGCTTCTATAACTGTGGGAAGTAAAAGCTGTATAGCGTCTGACTTGCTGAGGAACTTGCTTTCTGCAGGATTATGTAACATCTGATGAGTTGATGGAAATCAGTGTGTAAAATTTCCAGTGCCACCGTCTTTGACCTGGTCCAACTCCTACAGTATCCGTAACAGGACACCAGCTGGTCGGCTTCAAGTGGAGCTTTATTTTTTAAGGATGGGTACAGTGAACTCCCATCTATTCACGGTTCATTATTTAAAGATTCACTGATTCTCGGATATCTTGGTGGAATATAACTCCAAAATATTTGCTGAAAATTCACTTATATAATGTAAATTGAAAAACCTAGAATCAACGGTACTTGGAAAAGCAGCAAATCCTGGAGTTCTGTTCATTTTCCTGGATGGTAATTACCTAGATGATACCCTGAAGAACGGAGATCAGGAAGGCTGTGGATGTAGCTTCAGCTGTAGTTCTAAGACGGTTTCCACTCTGTATCAATGCATGTTGAGGCATGTTTGGTGTTTCGATGTAAAATTAATCATATTAGATGGATCAGGATCCATCTTAGACCTGCTTCTTTCCTGCATGTAAAGCACTTTGAACTGCCTTGTTGCTGAAATGTGCTATGCAAATAAACTTTATTGATATGCTACTGGTTGAAGACCCAAGAACAAACCCTGAAAGTGCTTGACCCAGTTTATTAAAGTCCCTGTAGAGAGGGGTGTCTTGGTTTCCCTATTGGACCCCAACCTCAGATAAGAGGAGCCAAAGTGACACACAGCTAGAGAGTTAAATATTCAAGCTCCTGGTCCTTCTCTGGTTCTACAGAGCAATTAACTGATCCTGTTTGGTTTTTGTGTTCAGGATCCAGAAGTTTGGTGGTTTCCTGTCGTGGAACAGCGTCGGTCAGGCAAACGTTAACGGGCGGCTCGCCATGACGCGCAGCATCGGAGACTTCCACCTGAAATCCAGTGGCGTCATCGCAGAGCCGGAAACACGTCGTCTCTCTGTGAGTCCCGGTCCAGCTTCGTCTGATGTCTTAGTTTCAGATTGGTTTGGATCTGTGGAGTTTTTTTTACCTGGCTTTGTTGTTGTTAGGTCCATTATTCCACTGGACAATCAGCTTATATATTCATGATCTGTTTCTGCAGGTCCAACATGCCAATGACTCCTTTCTGGCTTTGACCACAGACGGCATTAACTTCCTGTTGAGTGACCAGGAGATCTGTGATGTCATCAACCAGTGCCAAGACCCGACTGAAGCAGCAGAGATCATCTCTCAGCAGGTAAACAGCTGAAATCTACCAGGCAAACTCAATGAACTGTAGAGAAAACAGGATCATCTCTGAGATAGGGACTGACATCTGATATTAAGTCTTAGATTAGAAGAAAGATGATTAAATTAAACAATAAATGCCCTGGTCAGAATTCATAAATGTCAGATATATGATCATATTAAAGACATTTCAGTGACTAATAGATGTGAATACTGCCTAAATAAGTGGATAAAATGTATTTCAGGCGCTGCAGTACGGCTCAGAGGACAACGCCACCATCGTCATCATCCCGTTTGGCGCCTGGGGGAAACACAAAAGCTCCACCAAAATCTACAGCATGAGCAGGAACTTCGCTTCGAGCGGCCGATGGGCGTAGACGGAAACATGCATGAAGCACGACAGAACTCAGCCGATTATCTTAATCTGACTTTAAGTAACCCAGAGCTCCTTAAATTATTTATAACAGCATCATAACGCATCCAAACAAACATCGTCATGCTTGTTCCCAGCTGAGCAGTGGACTCTGTAAATAGTGTAAAATAATGAAGATTGTACATATAAAGAGACTTACTGCAGTGTTTGTTGTCTTTGTCAACTTGGTATCAGTGTTTTGCATTTAGAGAAAACATTTCAGTGTATTTCCTCTTTCAGTCATTGCTGTCATCCTGTAAATGTTTAATGAAACTCCAAAATATCAACGTTTTATCAAATAAGAAGCTCCGTTTGGTTTTAAATTCATCAAAAAGAGGGAATATGTTTGAACTCCAGGAAAAACCATTCGAGAAAGCAACCTGTTTTGTTACCAACAAACCTTTTAAATTCTGAAATATTTACCAACGTTAGAAGTTTGACTTGATATTATCGATGCTCATCTTGACTCCATTGGTCCTTTAGAGTAATAAAGTTCAACCAGTCAAACATAAATGTTACTGTTTGTTTTCTTCAGTTGCATTAAACCAAGTTTGTGTGAAATCAGTCAGACTTTGGTTTTTCATTTGAGGTTTGCAGTTAGAGATTAAAGTACCAAAGAGTTTTAGTTGGTATTTTGTCCAATTCCTTGTCTTTCTTATGTCTGAAGGAGCCAAAGACTCAATTCTCTAATATTCTCTGTTTAAAC